TAATTTATAAAATAATTTATAGTAATATGTAATTTAAAATATAAAACTATTTCTGCTTCATGAAGAAAGAGCGATGAAATTATAAGAACGACTTTATAATTACATTTTAAAAAATTCAAAAAAGAGATGAACTGATTCAAAAGTTAGCCAAAAAAAACAGTATCACTTACTGATCAGCGATCTTTTTACATTTTTTTCAATTTTCTTCTAAAACAAATAATGCAAAGATAATACTTTTAATTATTTTTAATGTCTTTTCATTATTATTGTCATTATTTTTATTAGATTGAAAAGTAATTTTACAAAAAAAAAGAAGGATGTATGTATATGGACATGCATAGACATATTTCATATATCTATATATAATTATATATATTTATGAATATTTATACATAGCCATATATGTATGGTTATACATATTTACATGCATGAAAAATTTTTTATTGAGATGTGTTGAGAATTTCATTCGATTTGAGATTTAATCCATTTTTATATTTATATTAAATATTTTTATGTCAATTTATGTACAACGGCTTTAATATGCACCAGTACGCATTGAGTGCATCCAATCGAATTCACTACATGTCATCATGGAAATAAAAAATGTCAGTTATTTAAAAATAGTTATCCGTCTGTAAAATGGCAAAAATAAACTGGCTGTAAAATGGTAAAAATAAAAATTTATCAATAATAATGACATAAAAAAGTATTAATTTTTTCATTAAAAAATTATATTTTAACTTCTGATGTAAAATACTTTTCAAATTACTAGGGATTTCATTATGTCTCTCAATGTTTTCTTTTCTTGATATTTACAGCACTGATATGATTCGACGCGCGCTTCCGTTCGACCGGCAAGGCGCTGAAGTTACTACGGAATCGATAAAGAGTTCAGAATGGAAGCCAGTCATAAACAGCTTATTTATCTTCGCAATAATTGGCCGCCGCGAGCGCTTGCGACGTGCGACAAATTGTTCTGGGGTTTCAAGTGAGTGCAAAAGAAAATCGGCTGATAATATTACGGCTCATTACAGCTCGACATTCGTTTCCTTGCACAATTTAACGGCTGACGCATAAGTTAACGAGTTTCTTACGCGACTTAACCTCCCAGCACGAAACCAAAGTGCGTCTCTGAAGAACTCTTTGTTGATTTTATATCCTAATTTTGTATTGATTGCCTATTCATTTATTTCTTTTTGATAAAAAATATATGTCTAGATAAATTTCTTTTTTGGTCAAATTTATTAATTTATTAATAATTTACTATACATAGTTTTTGTGTATTGTAATTTACTACATGTAGTTTTTGTGTATTGTAGTGTGAAATTTTATAAACAAGTTTTATTCAAAGAAGTGTTTCTATGAGTGTTGACAGTTAAAAAAGCAATTTTTTTTTATAGTTGCAGATGATCAATGTTGGAAGGATGGTATTGCAGATCCATTGCCAACAACAATGCAGAAGAAGAAGACGATGAGGAGAGTCCCGAGGAAGAAGTGCCTAATTATAAGGACCAGTATCGCAATCTCAAAAGGAAGCTGAAATTTTTGATTTATGTATGCAAGGAACATTTCAATATCTAATATTTGTCTATATTATTTATTTCATAATAAAATATGTATTATGTTGCAGGAGAATGAATGTTTCCAAGAAGCTTTGCGTTCTACACAAAGGAAACTGCTCAAGGTGAATAGAGATAAAAGTTTCCTATTAGATCGCCTGCTGCAGTATGAAAAAGTAGATGCATCATTTAGTGAAAGCGATGAAACTGATTCATCAGATGAAGAAGTTGTTCGTCTTGATAATTCTAAGAGGTAAGAAAATTATATAATAATCAGGTTATGAAATAAAAGAAACTTTATCATAAACCAATAAGAAGCTATGTTGAAATGTTTATTTATTATCATATAGGATGTTCCTAAATTATTGGATATCCTTTCATCAGCAGATTCTGTGGAACATTATAGGAAAAAAAATTCATATACAAGATTCTTATAAATGTCGAGATTATAATACTTTCTTAATTAGTTAATTTTTAAAATAAGCTGATATCTTATTGAGCCATTAATACTTCAAAGGAAACTGAATTTATGCTAATTTTACTGTAAACACCTTAATTATATCAATATTTGATAATTGAGTCCTTACATAAGGACATTATTATGCAATATACAATGCTTGAGTGTATTAATTGTAGCTGCTATAATAATCAACTTTAATTATTTATAATTTGAAAAATATAATCTTGTCATTTTTATATAGGATTTTTATTTTAAAATATTCCGCAGATTCTATATATTAGTAAAAAGACATCTGGTAATTTTGTATATTAACAATATATATAATATATAAAAAGAAAATATAAATCTATAAAGCATAAATTTTATTCATTGTTTATTATATGAATTTACGTAATTTTTAGAAAAAAAGTTGAGATGAATATCAATAATCATACTTCTCATCATTCGTCTATGGTCACAAAACCACTCAGCACTAGTAAGAAGAAAAGGAGTGCTCCAAAAGTTGCTAAAACGAACAACACACCTATAGTAAATACATTTATATATTTCATGTAATATGTTTAAAAATTACATTTTATTACAAGATTATAATATGAATTTTTTTTATTTCAGGTACAATCCACGAATAATTTGGTTCCAATGTCCTTGATGTCTGACGGACATATGACACCTGAGGAAGTAGAAAGACATTTGGAATCTCGCCAGACATATCTGGAACTTGTGCCAGAGAAAGCACCACCTACAGTTCCAACAGAGATGTTTAGTAATGATCCTTCTTTGGACAGGTAAGTTTATTTGTTATTAATAAATATTTTTTATCCCTTTTTGGATCTTTAATAAAAATGAAATTATTAAAATAACCAATTTTTAGTGAATCGAATGAAATTGGAGAACTTGAGACATCGCCTAGTAATATGGGTGAAGATTGTCTCAGTGTGGACATGATGGCGGAGTGACAAACATTCGTTTATAGTTTACTCATTAATTATAAAATGCACATATAGTTACATGGCTCTTTAAGATTATTTCACGCGACTAACTCAACTGTATCCACTATAATATAATACAAATTTTTATACACACAATAATAAAGGATTTTCCTTATTTTAATCTCCTTTTCCAACACATCTATGAATTATATGACACATTCGTCTTATGTTTCATGCAGTTTGTTTGTTTATAAAAATTTTGTACAAAAATTTCATTCGTAATGATTGAGAAAAGCAATTCGATAACTGACATTTTGGATAGCATAATTTCAAAAATAGAAACAGAATTGGAGCAGAAATCATTACACACATACATACACCAATCGGAATTTGAAGATGTTACATCAGAAAAAAGAAATCGATTATCATGCGATTCGATGGAAGACGTAAACTGTCGTATTTGTTATGATCCTAATCAAGAACTACCTATTATGTATCCATGCAAGTGTAAGGTTCGGGAGGATAGAGTGTAAAAATTCGATTATACACAATAATTAGGAAAACTAAAAATTGAAAATTTTTGAAGATCCGGGATATTGAAAATTCAAATAGCTCTATATATTTCTCTCTCTTTTATTTTAATTTTTTTTATTTTAATAAATTATAAATATTTTAATTTAAAATGACTTAATTTTTTCAATCAAATACATTTGAAAAATATGTCCATATCTCACAATACTATATAATTATAATAATGACAATTGGGATTAGGGAACAATGGGCGCGATCCATCTAAAATGTTTGGAACGGTGGTTAGAAGAAAGCAATAGAAATAATTGTGAATTGTGCGGTCACGAGTTCCGCATGGAACGCACGCCTCGTTATAAGGTTTTTCGGTCTGTTATAATCTGGTTATGCCTGAATCACAGCGATCAGATGTATGTCCGCAACGTGAAAGCCGATCTACTAAGATGTCTTATAGTGACACCAGTGACCATTGCGTGTTCTTACATCTGTGTAGTGGCTGCCGATTTTTACGCTATGACTAATTACGACAATTTTCCACCCGCGCGATGGACTACTTATTCCTTACTATCAATGATGGCGTTATTAATCCTATCTTTCTTCGTTTGGATCTACATGACAGTACGATATCATCAAAAAGCATGGTTTTACTGGTGGCAAAAAACCAGTAGTGTAAAAATTGTTGATTTAATGCCGAAAAATATTGCTTTAAGTAGAAACAATAAGTGTGATGTGTCGCAAGTTTAACAATAGATATCAAGAATAATAAAGAAGTTGATTAGGAAGCTCGTCGTTTGATAGAGATCTTTCCACGACTCAACTGCGATGTATAAATGCGTACTTTGCTGCTGTCCGTTACTTTCTTCACCCAAATCTGAAAAAATTAATATCTTGCGATGATGCACGATTTATTTAATGCTTTGAACACTTACCGCTTCGGTGCCAATTGCAGAAATATTAGCTGCGAACCTATTAAGATCCTTGCCTTCAACATAGACAGGTTGACCACGATGAAACCTTTAATGAAATTCGACGAAAGGATTCCTTTATATTTAAGAAGAATTCAAGTATTGAATATAAAGTAATACAGAAATAAATCAAAGGTACCATCTTCGCTCATATAATAATTTCCCGTCTTCTATCCGAGTTTCAACCAATGGGGTTTCAGGCGGCTGTGATATATGTTGTGATGGAATATTTACCGCGTTGTAATGTGGCAAAACTACTGTAAATACAGTTGTATTAACTAAAAAATGTGTATTAACTAAAAAATTTATTTCTTATTCTTAGTTTTTTACATTGATTATATTCGCTTCTTTATATTTATGTACAAAGTATCATAAAATTCGCAAGGATCAATACTATAGTTCTGGAAAAATTAAATGCTAAACATCGTAATCACAGCATAAAAGTTGTAACTATTCAAAATTTTGTAAATTTTTGTACAAATTATAAGAAATAAAGAAGTCATAGATTTTCATTACTTAAATTTTTCCAAGATATTCTGCTATAGTATTTTGAATCGTGAATTTTAAGATATCAAGTACTGAGCACCTGGTTTGCGAATAGTGGTCGGCGCTTTCGCACGATTGATTGCTTTTAAATCAAGTTCGATATCTTTATCGTCCAATACGTAATTTAATTGTGCAGGAGGTGGTTTTCGCCGTTTCTCTACTTTTTCAGGTACTGGATCGTTGGGACGTCTGCGTAATTTTCTCGTCATTACAGGCTTTACCTAATTATAAAATAGAATGATGTCAATAAGAAATATATATATATATAT